ATATATGATAACCAAATCTCCTGTTCTTCAGGCCAAAGACCCATTATATAATTAAGGTATACTGTATAACCCCAAAAAAAGAAATATGCCCAGATTGGGTATAAATTGATATATCACCAGGTATTGATCAAATGTCTGATGGCAATCAAAAATGGTTCCACATCCATCAAATAATTTTAGAGACATTAATCCCATTAATAATATTATATTAAAACACTTAAAAACAAATAAAATGAAAGTTTTAAGAATGTGACAGATATCACTGCCCAGAAATATGTGCAATGCTCAATGGCAGCAGCTAGGGAAATGCAAGCATTACTGGGTGAATCAGGTGTAGTTACAACCTGCATAATCAATATTCTGTATTGCCAACATAGAGATATATAGGACCAGACATAGAAAATGACCCCAAAAATACACCACCACGATCCCCCACCATGGTCAGAAAGAGGGGCCCTTGATGCGCTGCTTGCAATACCCCCAAAGCCTGCTTAGAATCCACCTGGTAGCCAGGTGTTTTTTTATGAACACATCAAGCTCCTGCTGTTGCAGCAGCCCTTTACTTAGATTGTCTATTGTACTGCTTCTCTCCAGGCAAAGAGGTACTACCCACTTAGTGGGCCCGAAACGACCTGATCTGACCCTGACACTGACTTTGACAAGAGACCACATTAACAGGCTCTTTTGGTTCGATTCTACCTGCTCACTTCACTTGCAGGCCTGACATAGTGATGCTCAGGTCCGGTCCAGGAAATCGGTTCAAACCCGAACCGGACTGGACTGAACCCAGGTTCGGGGTTCAGGTTCGGCCAAAGTCGGTTTCGAACCAAACCGCGGCCAGAGTTCAGCCAAGTTCGGCCAAATTAGGCCAAAAATACCAGTTCAGGGCCCAGTTTGAACCAGGGTTCGGGGTTCAGGTCCGTGTCAGGGGAACCCCCACCTTGGCATCTGTCCATCGCATCTCGGCATCAGACACCTGTCCATCAATTACCTACGTGATGCCCAAGCGACCGTCGTTTTGTCCACCGATAGGAATCAACGTAGGTAACGCATCAGGATCTGCAAGAAGATCCTCCTGGGACCTGGCATGCCACATGGCGCGGGCATATTGCATGGAGCAACGATCATTCTTGGCGCATCAAGAGCGCGGTATATAGTTGGCTACCTGGCAGGTGGACCCTCAGAGTTTCTTCTCTTTGGATCCTCCCCTGCCAGGTCAGCCTTGTTTGTATTCGTCTACCCTTATTCACTCTTTGGATCCTCCCCTGCCAGGACCTTGATCTCAGGCCTCCGGGGTTGCCCTTACAGTCCGGCAAATCCAGATTTTGAACCAAATCCGGGGTTCTCAGTTTGGCCAAAAGTGGCCGAGAACCAGACCAAACCAGACCTCAGCATTACTAGCCCGACAATCTGTCTGTTCTGTTCCAGGTGCAGGTTCCTAGAAGGAGCCTTGCACGGCCTGATCTGAAGCCTGACAGGGAGTGAGTTGGATGTAGGGAAGAAGCAAACAGATATTACAGCATTACTTAGTAATGGAAATAAATTTCCTTTTTGGGAAAAATAAAATATTTGGTATAGAATAACTGTACTATGGAATGGTTTGGGGGATCTCCCAACATTAAAACTTATGAGAGATTTGATTGTATATGTTAGTGGACAGCTACCACCTTCCAAAGCATGCAGCTCTGGTTCCAAACAAGGAATGCTCCTCCAATTCTAAAAAAAGTAAAATTACAATCAGTAACCAAGCATAAAAACAACTTAAATACACACACACATACCAATACTCTGAAGTGCCTCTGACTCCAGATCTGTCCAAGTCCTGGATGTTGAAATTCGAACTTTCAATTTGCTTGATTGCACTTGTTGTAGTAAGGCATAGGTAGATCCTTGAGGAGGATCAACTTGATCCATCCCTGCATGGAGTGTTGAAAAGATTGAGAGCCATGCAAAATGAATGGACTCGGATAACTCTCTGCGAGCAACTATAACTGCTAAGAATAAGTCATAGCTCACTTTAGGACTATATGCATTGGTATCTGTGATAATAAGATTTTTTAACTGTGGCAGAATACTAGGAAGACTGAGAAGCTGATAGCGTGCAGTTGGAAAGTATTGTCTGGGGTGTATATGGTCGCCATAGCTGTAGTTCTAAGGTTTCTAGAGTAGGGATAGCCTCTAAAAGTGCAGTTTCACCTGATACATCTTTATTCTCCTCTGTATCAGAAACAGTAATTCCTAGAGTTTCAAGTTGGCATTTTGAGCGGATCAGAAAATCTCGAGTTTGTAGTGCAAAAAGATTAGTGGAGAATTCAGTTGTAGTATGGAACAATTGCACAGAGAGATGTCGGAGTGTTGGGATGGTCAAGGCTTTTAGGAAGAACGGACTTCCAGCTAGAATCAATGTATGAAGAGGTGGAATATACTGAAGTGGATGCAAATCTGGATCTGTATCTGGGAGGTGTACATTAATACCATAGACACCTAGATGACAAAGATTGGGAAATTGCATAAAGATATCCTGGATAAGAGCTCTACCCAGTTGTCTGCCTGAGCCACCACGCAGATGAAGTGCACTCAGAGGAAGTGATGCTGCTTTGATTTCTTCAAGATGTGCTTCAGATATAGCAAGCACTTTAAGCGCAGAAGCTGAAGCCAAAAATCCTGCAAGAGTCACTGGATTGGCCACTGCACTATGAAAGCGAAGGATCTGAAGGGTAGATGTGTGCAGGAGGGGAAATGGTCCCTGAGTTTGGCCCAAAATATCTAGGTCAAGATCATGTAGATAGAGCTCAAGCCTCTCCCAACGCTTGGAGCATGATTGCAGTGTGGAAGTCATCTGATTCTGTAGCCTCTCAGTGCAGGAGATTGTGATTGATACAGAGAGTGGTAATGATCGTGCAAGCCAGAGCTCTAGGGTTGCTGTTGGATTCCACTTTGGTCTAGTGCTAGTGCTAGTGGGATTGTCAGATGGGGCTGACTGGTCACTAGAATTATGGTTCCTCGGAAATATAATGTGGATTGCTCTCCAAAGTTCTGGAGTAGTGAGAGCAACAGATCTCCAGTGGCCACACACTTGTGTGAGTTGAAGTGGGGGTCCACTGCATCGTGGGCGGATACGGCGATGTGCAGGAAGGCAGTCAATGAAGATCTTGCTCATCAACTCGAATGGGAGCGATAGGACCACTGGTTGTGGGCTGGATGTATGTCCCATGATGGATGTGAGCAAGGCCAGTTGTCACAACTACACACTGATCCGCGCCAGATTACTAGTTTGAAAATGAATCAGATAGCATAAATAGTATCCAAAACGACACGTAGGCGGCTTTTCTTCCCGCGCCGCGCCCATACTACTTACTTCTGTCATTGCGACATGGGAGTCCTCTTGTAGGTGTTTTGACAACTTAGTACTGAGACGCTCATCCGACTCGGAGTCTACTACTGTAGTAAGGGAACACCCGTTAACAAGTAGGGGCGTAAGACAATACGTGAGAGTGGATGGGACACATGTAATATTCTCGACCCCAGCTCACTAGTACTGGCAGGAAGGACCTACAGTGGAAGCGCTACGTTGACTAGGACGTGGTGGTGGAGAGAAGAAGTTAATTCAGATTGAGCATACTCTTCGTTCGTTGTTTTCGGTCTCCGTCCAACAATTGCGCCTGCAACTTAGGATATATTCTACTATATATACTACCACACGGTTCAAGGGAATACTCGTCAAGACTGCCTACGCGATGCCTCGCGAGAAAACCGTTCCGCTTCTCTCTTCTTGCGAAGCATCGCGGTGAAATTATCATCCACGCGATATCGTCGCCTACCGACAGTACAAATAGACGGCACGGTAGACGGGCAGGCAGACGGCTCGCCCTCCGGATCAAAATTGTAGAGAGACCCATTGTCGGACTGACAATGGTTCAATGCCCGAACGAAGAGACAAGGAAAAACACGCACATCGTAGTAACAGTAATCCGCTGCTCCGTACCTACATATCAAGTAGGAGCCACCGGGACGTCCTATATAGGATGACGCCAAAGCCTGGCCGCCAGGGCCGGTCTTGAGACACTGGTAGAAACATGGCTTGAAGCTGGGGCCCTCCAGCGCCATTGGTGAGCAGCTGGCCAATGAACGTTAACCCCCGCCGGGTATGAGCTCGCCGGTGGTCTGCGAAAAAAAAAGTTAACAAAGAGGGCAGAGAGTTGGTAGCGTTACCCACCAAGCTGTAGCGGCAAAACGTGCTCGACATCGTGACTGGTTGGTAGCCCAAACACTGCAGTATCGGAGCAACGAGAAGAAGGTCATCATACTGGTCATTGTTGATGTACGGGTCGGGTGGACAGTGAAAGGTGGGTAGAAAGTAAGGAGTCGATGCGGAGGAGGAAGGTTGGCTCGGCGGGACTTGAGCAATGACCACTGGGACGAGGAGGCCAAGAAACGGGAGCATCTTGTTTGTCCTCCATCGACGACCGACAGCAATATAAGGGCAAACAATCTAGGAGTTGCTGTCAGGAAGTACAGGAGTCGGCGTCGACAAGAATGCCACGACAGGAGTGCCTTTAGGCCTGATTGAGGTCGTTTACTTCGTTGGTTAACGTGCTACATTTGGTTACTTGAATGGGGATTGGAAGCGTGAGCCTTTCTCGTCTTGCAAAGTGGCTGTCAAGTTATCAAGAAATACTAGAAATACTAGTATTGTCGCCTGAAAACCACACACGTATACAGCGCATTTGAAGCACAGGCAGCGGGGTTTCCGCACCACTAGACGATCAAGGTTTGAGGAGAGGAAGAAATGTCACGAGACCATCCCGGACCTGGACCCAACCGCCATGCCGTTTATTTCCTACTCCCTCTCTCTCTCCAGCCCCACTCCTCTCTCCAGTACCTTGCCCACATCGTCGCAACTGACCACACACCAAATTAGGCAGTGTTGATGGAGAAGAATAAAAAGGCTATTGTCTAGGAATAGACGACACCTTCTTCTCCTCTCCCCACTTGCATTGATGGCGACTCTTTTCGAAACTCTGCCCAACGCGCAAGCCGCCATTGACGAATTCCTCACCGTCGTCAAATCCTCCAAGACATACGCCTGCTCGCATTGCGGGGCCGAGAGTTCTGCAACGGTCACTCTGAAGCTTTGCAGTGGCGTGAGTGGTACTCTCACTTGACAAACTTGTGTGGTTCTCAAGACCTTCCTTAGTGCCAGTTGACTCGCTATTGCTCCAAATCGGTGCGTGTGTCAGTCAAACCTGACTTCCAAAAGACTTATTGCTCAAAGTGCCAAGTTGTTCATTGGTATTTATCCTGCATTCGCTGTGGCAAAAGCTGACAACTTGTCAGGAAAACCCACAAACGCTCGTGTCGTTGCAGCCCAGATTTAACCCCCCGAGATGTAGCTCGCGACCGTCGCGCCCAATCCTTCATCCGCCACCTAATGCGTGTTTCGTGGATCATCATTCTCCTCGACATGTACGCCATCGTTGCCCTTGACCTCCGTCGCAACCCCTCCAACGCGGACAAACACTGCATCCGCGCCAGAATAACGACCATCCCCGCCCCAGATAACCTCCCCGCCACCAAGAAACCCGCTCCACCAGACAACCCCATCATCATGCTCCAATTCGAGCGCTTCGAGATACTCCCCATCTCGCGCCTCACCACCGCCATGCGGACCGGCCTCGAAAATACCCGCAAGCGCTACACCGAAAGCGGTCTTGTCCCCCCCGGAACGCCCTTCATTTCCATGTTCTTCAGCACAGACGGCGACAACTACGTCTACGAGCCGCGACCGCTGCATCCAATGCTATTCAGGCTGGCCAATGCGAGTTCTACGAGCGCGTCACTGCCGCTGTTTGATGATGGGGAGCCGGTAACCGAGGCCAAGGTCGTCGACGAGCTGAACGAGTTCATTCGGCTAGACAGGGAGAATCTTTGCAAGGCTCGTGGAGTTAGTGTTCCCTTTCTCAACTGCTTAGTTCCCCAACTTACACTCAGACAGCCTCTCCATCGAAAAGACACATAAACAGATGATTAGGTGTACCTGTAGTGTGTAGTACCATGTAGCGTAGTAGTAGAACTCGGGGCATTGACCTAAGAGCACTTGCTCTCCATTTTTTATCTGGATTGCTCCCTGGCAGCTAAAAAGGAAGGTGTCTCGCCAAATTGGGAGGCACACCAACAGTGGCCAACTTGGATTCTCCTACACTTGTAAGTTGTTGACGACAAAAAACATTAAACATTGATTTATTATACCGCGGAACTAGCAGTCTCTAACTTGACATAAAACAAGCACTATGCAGAGTTCTCCGCTGCTAGTGTCTCCATAGGCCAGTGTTTGCGTTGATGAATTCCGTTTGCTCTGTTTCTTTCAGTCAACAACTGCGATTAAGCTCGTAGCAGAAGGGCTTACCCGAGCGGAAGTCGTCCGGTATCATCGTCAGATTTGCATTATTGAACTGAAGGATGGACTGCGAGAGCGTTAAGCATGGACAGTGTTTTGCGTATGATACCGACCTTGTTCGTTGGAGAATATGGCATCCATTGAGGCCCTACGAGAACATTAGCACGCGATCAATGACGCGAATCCTTGACTCACGAGAACTCCCCAAGCCGTCGTTTGGCGTCAAACTTGTCGCAAAAGAAACCCAGTAGTCGATGATGGTTCTACTCAGGTTTACAGAGGCTCCAGATGGGTCCAGCGGTGCGCCGTAGACGTAGCTTACTTCGACGAAATGCGGTACTATGCGTGGTCAGAAAGAACACGACGGTCTTGTCCTACGACATACCACCATAAAATCCAGGCAGTTCGGGTTGCGGCTGGTCAAAAAGGTAACCATAGGAAGGAACACCGGCAGTAGTCGCAGCTTCCGCGAATTGTCGACGCAGGGAGAGGAACCAAAGATCGCCCACTGTAAGTATGAAGTTGAGACGTAGTTATTGCGAGAAAACAATAACCTGCCAAGTGCCGCAGTCCGTTTAAAGGTGGAGCTCAAACCAAAGGTATCGTTTCCGGTGTTGTAAGGCGATCCTGTACAATATGAGGACCAAACATATATGAGTATACGCGAAAAACTTACCAAGAGTGGGGTCGTCGGGATACAGCTGGAGCAGGGATTCAACTCCATTTTGGAGCTCGGGAGACGATGCATTGGAGATGTTGCCGTCTTGTCGCAGGACGGAGCCAAGTAGAAGTCCTTGTAGCGCCTCTGCGGAATTGACTGACGGCGGCACAAACGGTGTACCTTCGTCGAGGTTAGTGCCCGCAATGAACGGAATCTTGGCGAACTCTCCACGGGCGAAGTAGTTCGATGGCAAGTCCTTGATGAGATCCCCATCGAGGACAGGAGTCCACTGGAACAAATTAACGGAGGTCGCTTGAGCAGCAGCGGTTGCAGCCAATATGTCGTTGCTCGTGGCGTTGTTCCGGACACAATCAAAAATGTGAGCCGGGGGAAGAGAAGAGCAGATTGGAATGAAAGACGCGAAATGGGTCCAGTCAAGTTCGTTGCGGGTTGGAGGATAAATCCCGAGAGTAGCAGACGAGCCTGACTCGAATATCTGAGGGAAGCATCAGTGTACCGTATGGACAAGAATCATTTTGCCTACGGCTGCACGGGCAAGTGGCTGGAGGGCTGGGTTCAAGAAGAGAAGACTGGTTAGACTAGAACCAGCACTTTCACCAAAGAGCGTGACCTGCGAGTTTATCAGTGCAGTCCTGAGACGGTTTTCGACGACATACTTTGCTGTTATCTCCGCCAAAGAACCCGATATTCTCGTGTACCCACCGCAAAGCGGCAAGTTGGTCCTTTAGACCGAGATTCAAGGCACCGTGCTTCGCCGCTTCGGTGCCGACCGGGAAACCAAGTGGGCCCAATCGATAATTGAAGCTAACATAGAGGATCGGAGTCCCTCGGGCAACACTTTGAGCGACAATGAAGCTCGCATTGAAGTAGCTGGAGTTGCCGCTGACGTATCCGCCTCCGTATGTCCAAAACATCTGCAGCAAGTTCAGTGAACAGGCGGGAGTTGAATGGATGCCATGTCATACTACAGGGAGTGGATAGGCAGAGGCAGGCAGTCCTGCTGGACGCAAAACATTGAGTGTCAGACAATCTTCCGACACTTGTTCAGTAGGAGCGTCCTGCATGCACGCTTTAACTGTGTTTTACGAAAAGAGAATTGGACGAACCACTTGAAGACATGAGAACCCGTAGTCAGAAGCGTTGAAAGTATCGACATCGAGCCGTGTTTTCAACACCGGAGGCGAAAGACGACGAGGACCGAGAGGGGTTTCGGCGTATGGTATTCCTTTGGTAGTATTGGTCAGGCAATCCGGGACATGAAGAGATGAAAGACAAACCAGCGAAAAATTCTTGCTGAAAGGTTGGCAGAGCACGACCAATGATGGTCGCTCGACCTATGGTTACTGAAGGAGAGGCATGAGTGCGGGCACATGCAGCAATCGAAAGAAGTGCAGAGAATAGTAATAGGGAAGACGAGAACATTGACTGACTTACCGTACTTCGCAAGATGGCCGCCCTTTATGAGAGCCTAATGTGACGACTCCGGGCGACTTCTGTACAGTCTCCGGCGGCTGCGCCGGCGGGGGTCGATCCTCAAAGTCTGAAGATCTTGGAAAGGAATCGAAAGTGTTGATGGGCACGTGCCAGCCACCGTGACGTCACTCTTTCCCTTCTTCACTCATGAATGCATGACCTCTCGTAGCAAGCACGGACTTCCTCCCCAACTAGCCGTGAGTCGAATTCTTCGGACCAAACTGCTCGCCGATACTTTGCTAGGACCTTGCAAGTGGTCTCTTGGCCGGGAATTTAGAGGACATCTACACTGCGCAAGAGAGAATCAGCGCAGGTTAGTATGTTCCTGTTAACAAGGCCATCCTTCGACTTTTTGTTAGCCCTCTAGAAACTCCTCCTCCTGCGTCCATTTCAATTAAAGTCCGCACCCGGACGATTAGCTATCTTGCCGCGCTTTCCACGACGCTCAGGAAAGATTATGCCAAGAGTCCTGGCAGTCCACCACTAAATGTCGACCTACTGCGGGATGCCTGGCCAAATGTCTGTCTATGGATACAGAAAGTCTACAACTCGTTCTCCGATGTCGAAGACTACAAGAACGATGATTGGGATCTCATGACCGAGGTCGTCAAAATGATATTCCAAATCATTGTGTGTTACCCCGGCATGCGCCAAGCTATTCTTTCCAAAACGACCTTGACACAAGTCATTGGACTCCTCACTCATCTGTGGACCCTAGAAGGCGAAGGCCGCGTCTCAGTCATGCCGATCGCCTCATATAGCGCGACCATAGCCCTCCGGGCCGTCCTAGGACTCAGCATCTTAAAGCCTAATTCCGAGTCACCCGAGTATGAACCTGACTTGACCTTTTTTTCGGTGTTCTCAAATCGCTTCGAACATCCCAAGGACTTAGTCCGACTGCTCCTCACTCATCTCAACAACGCTGTCAACAAACACGCCGACTTCGAATACATTATGGCTTCAGTCGAAGTGATGAGTCTCACACTGGCAAGAAAGAGCGATGATATTTCTCGGGAGTTTGTCAGCCAAACTCCAATCAAGTTGATCCTTTCCGTACTTGATTGGGCTGCGGAATCAAAGGGGCCTATGCATAGCATCTCGCACATTGTAGAGAGATGTTTAGGCGTCATCGACTCCAGCAGGAGTGTCACAAACGGGACCATCTGGTACTGCCAGCTTCTTGCAGCCGATATTCTCCCTATCATCTTTCGATGTCACCGTTTCTATGACGCGAAAAAAAATCCTGAATCGTCCGCATATATTCTAAAAGGAGTCACCAAAATCATACACTTGTTCACGGACTCTACGTTCTCTCGATCTTTGGTCGGTCACGCAAAGCGCGCCCTCCACCGACTTCCCTCTGACCAACTCCACCATCCTCCGTTTAGTGGTGCTTTGTTAGCCGACTGGAACACTTTCACGACATTGGTGGCCGAACGAGTTGCTTTCAAGACTGAATACGACCTGCGTGAATGGAAAAGGTGCTTTCATCCCATGGTACATTCACTGTTGGATTTTGCTGTATTAGCTTCTCACTAACCCTGATAGTGCCCGAGTTTCCAACTTGAACTCAGCAAAAACTCGAAACTTAAAGCCTGTGGAGGCTGCCAAGGCGTCAAATACTGCTCAAAAGCATGCCAGAAGGCCCATTGGCCCTTGCACAAGCGTTCTTGCTCTCCAGATAACAAGCCCCCTGGTGAGTACTAATACCAATATGTAATGAGGAGCAGTTGTTGAACGAGAAATCGGTATTTAGCAACGCTTGCGGAACGCATGACTCTGATGGCGCTGTCATATGATGACATGCGCTTCCTCTTAGCTTTAGCCCGCCGAGATGTCTTGACCGCGAAACCTCAGCTGATCGTCCAACGAAAGTCGATTCAAAGTACCAGTGGCACAACGCTGGGTTCCGAAATCTACGATGACCCCTTGCTTAGAAAATTTGCTCTGGCTCGTATACCATTCTATGTCGAGCTATAATACTCGCAATATCCTACAAATTCCAGGGCATTGCCCTTCATCGAAACAGTAAACCCGACGCTCCATGCGGACATGTGCAAACGAAGGGGAAAGCAGACCTATGTAGCAATCAAATACGGTGTGGGGATCGAAGAGCGCTTTGCTAACACCTTTATGGATGTTTTGGGAGGCTGGGACGCGCTTTAGAATAGCATAAGCAAGGCACAAATATATGACTTTTTGGCATGTTTGGCCGCGAAAAATTTCAGTGATCATGTGTAGTGATGTCACTCAGGGACTTCTTTCCTTCACAGTCGTCCTGCGCGCTCACGCTCACGAACTGAAGGTATTTGCACCTCAAGATCCGTCACTACGCCCCGGAAGACCCGAGCAGACGAACATCTAACATTCCGGGTCCTTCCTGGATTGAAGATTCGACCATGACAACGATGCCGTTTTCCGACAAGCCGTCCATTAACCTTCGAACGATAGCCAGGGTCGTATAACAACAGATGGGGAAAACGAGGCTGATTGTCGAGTAAAGAGACGAGACGCCACTGGATGCTTCCCTCTCCCTCTGAACCAGTACCGCAAGCTGGCACCATGCTTGAGCGGCCACCACTTGTCCACACTGATGCAATCTTCCACTCGCTGATGGATGAACTGCATCCCGAGCTGGCTCATATACCACTGCCATTTATCCAACACCAGATCGCGGAGTGTCGAGTGCCAATGATTCGTGGGCTTGCCTCAGTGGATGACGCGGCATTACAACAAACATCAGGCTACCAGGGGACAGCCATCGTCCGTCTCCTCCCTGATCGTGACTTGTCTGAAGACGAGCCCGGACTCCAGCCCACCCATCTTCTCGCCATTTCCACTCGTTCTGCTCCCCTTGACCCCCCTCGATTCGTTGCCATCCATGGAATGGTGATGGCCATGTACTGCTCAGCCCCGATTCTCAATTCAAAAGCAGCTGCCGATGGGCCGGATCCCGACACGGTCGTTTTACCCGTCACAACACTCGTTCTCCCCTCCGTTCCTGCCTTCTACGCATTGAGGGCGTATATGTATGCTCCGCATCCACTTAGCCTGCTACAGGCCCTGTTTCCCGGTGCGCTTTCGTGGGGAGGACTTGTCTCTTTCGACAACCTTGGCAGTCAGCTATTCGACTCCATCCAATCTCGCGCAAATAAAGGGAAAGAAGTCATTGCCAAACTACAAAACTACGCTCTGCGGGTCAGAGATGTTTGGCTGTGTGCTTGGACACTGGCCGTCTACCGCACAGAACTTTGGGACGCGTTGGACCTCGCTTCAGCGGTAGTAGTTCATGCTCTTGGTTTAGCCGTAGCTCGCCAAAACAACATCAAAAGTACATAATACAATTCATGCTTGCAGCTGAACCAATTTCCATCCGGTACTCGGATTGAATTCCGCCTCAGAAAGTGTACCGGGCGAGCCAGCGCTGACAAAACCCACGCGTAGCTTAAAGTTGCCTGTACCCTCCGGCGCTTGCGTCGACATCGCATATAACACCCGGTTTCCCGGCTGGACAGCAAAGCCCTGGCGATCGATGCATGTCGTGCAACTGACCCCGCCTTTCCATGGCTGGTTGTTCGCGGTGAAGTATTCAGCGAGAGTGTTCTGTGGCGATATGAAGAAGACATGGGCCTGGTGGTGTGAGTTTGGGCCATAACTACTAGGCTGGTATACGTACCTCAACGCCAAATGCTCCAGGATCCAGAGAAACAGCGGCGATGAGGGACTGGAATTGGACTTCTGCTGCAGGCACGAGAGTCATTGTGCCGACCAGACGTGCGCTGGAGAGGGGGCCGTTGATGTTAAGCTCAGTGATGCTGTTGTCAGGCTGTTGCATGTAAATGCGGGTGTCACCGGCAAAGTTGGTCTGCTGAAGGGACGCGATATTCCCCACAAAGCTGATGGGGAAGATGCTGTCCGTCGTTGGGGAAGAAGAGTCTTTTGGCGACGGCGCAGCATGGGCAGAAGAGAGGCTGCCAAAGACGAAGCAGATCTGAAGCGAGAAAAGAAGCAAGCATTCATGAGCGTTTCGACTCACGTTTAACATACAGCGGAGCCGCATTTCGCGAAATAGGCTTTGAGAGCCGAGCCGTCTGCGAGTTGATAAGGGCCAGGATTAAGTAGTCGGGCTAAGTATAAGATGTCGTACACTTCTACAGGGCCATCCGTCGGGAGATTTTGATGGCGAGTGGAGTCAGTGGACGAGAGAAGCCGCGAATAGGATTGTCGTATCTCGCAAGGTAGGATCTTGGGACTAAACATGGTCTTCGAAGGTGGTGCACTGGCGAATGATTCCTCCCGTAAGACTGACGATTTGATTCGCAATGCTTTAACCTATGGTCTTCAATTGTTGTCCGGGAACATCAAGGGTCTAAGCTGGTCTTCGAGAAGTTTGGTTGTACCTGGCACAGTGGATGTAGGTATCACAGTGGCATTTGCTGGTGTGGAATTTATTCTGCGACCAAGAGTAAGTCAATTAGTATGTATACCAAATCCATGGGCTGACCTATACAGCTGTTCTCTGTTCATAAAAACGAGCACTTGACGAGACGGCGTAAGTATTGTGACCTGATCGTGTGACCTGATCGGGCCCTAGTTTGATCCGAGTCATCTGATCATCCCAGTCTTGTCAACAAACCTCAACTCGGTTCTTCATCTGCTCAGACACAGTCTGCAAGGGGCACTTGTAAACAACACTCGGCATGTCCTCGTACCAACGATCTCTTTATTGGCAATAAGTATCAGCTGAAGCTTCGTCGCACGCGGAGTAAGTATCGCCAACCGTTGGCTCAAAACCTCTTGACAACCGGCACAAATTGTCCTCTTTGCTTCTGTTGTCATGGGCTAGCCTATGTCTGGAATAGGTGTCAACGAAAGCTCATGGTGGAGGGCAGTATATTGGCGCCTAAGTATCCCACTTCTTTGAGCGCTTACTGAAAATATTAAATACACAGGGTGCATTTTGTTTACCTGTGTGGTACCAGCGAGGCAAGCTCGAAAATAGAAGCCAATCAGAACTGGGGCTGCAGGTTTGCTTCCTAATCCGTCCTTTTCTCCTTTCTACTTGCCCTTCTACCTGGGGGGCAGATGGAGCCACTAGGTATTTCAACACAGGCAAATTGACCGTCGACCGTGTCCTCGCTGTTATCCACCACCATGCCTGCCCTTCCACCCCCTAGTCTCTCGTTCACTGGGTCGCAGCCTAGCCTCGGCGACCAGTGTCACACTATCGACGGCTGTCGAACAGTCATGCAGATCCTCTTCAGCTGCCTGTCCACCGTCATCCTCTCGACTTACTCCTCCCTCCACCCCAACGTGCCGCAGAGTCGACGAAATGAGAGAGAGAAGTCTCTCTGGAAAGAGCCTGGTCGGTGGCTGAATGAAAGCTTCTTGCACTTCAGGCCCAAACTCGTCATGTTCCTTGTCGCTCTTGTCGCACCGGAGTTGATCTTTGGGCTAGCGCATCGGCAGTACGCAAGCATGAGGCAGCTCGTGAAAGGTGTGTATATTGTTTGCTCCTCTCCTTCCCCAATAACGAGCTCCAGACTTCGGTCTGAAGAAACCCCACGCTTGGTTATTCGTCATGGGCGGCTTCGCGACAGCAGACGGTCACCCTCTCGTCCTTCAATCTCAGGTTATCCAATATCGTGAAGTCATTGAACGCCAAACCCCCATGGAAATCCGCGACAAAAGCAAAGCTGATCTGGTATCCAAGCTCCTCGCGCTCGTCCAGTTGCTCTGGTTTGTGCTCCAGATTACCATGCGTGCCCTCATGGGACTTCCGCTATCAGAGTTGGAAATCACCACCGTCGCATTCGCCTTTATTCCGCTGTGCAGTTGGTGGTTTTGGAAGGACAAGCCAAAGGATGTCCGCGAAGCAATTCGACTCGAGGTTTCACAAGTCGCTGAACTGCGGGACAAACATCAAGCAAGTCTGTATTTGCATATGAAGTCATACTTACCTGTTGGACAGTCTCTCGTCAGCGGCGCTGAATCTGCTCAAGCGATACAATCCAATACTCCCCTCCTAGACGAGGTAAGTATTCTGCCTGTGGTTAACCATCAGGGCTAAATTTTCAGATCGAGCTCTTTGTAAATGATATCAACACTTACGCTCTTGAGACGACTGTGCTAGATGGTCCTGAGGCGGTTCCTCAATATCAGGCAACTGAGGCAAGTAGCACTACTCACCCAATTTCTGTATCGCCAATATTAATTAGCTCACAGAATCCTTTGTCTCCAGACGATGGTCTCAACTCAGCTCAAGAGTCGGAATACAGCAGCCGCGGTGTTCAGGTACTAGTAAGCAAATCCAAGTTCGTAGACTAAATCTGAGACGTTAACAGTCACTTCAGCGAAATATGACCTCAAACTCCGAGTCGGTATCCTTCAGCATTGAGCGACTTCTCGCCGCGGTCATCCTTGGACAATATCCCGAAGCCTACTGGCGCGATAAAATCGACAAGCGCATGGTCGTTCCCCTTTTCTGGCCCGGTCCATGGCCATCGAGCGAGCCCGAGCGGGACGCTATACACCTAAAAGGGTCCGGAAGCTACACACAATTTCTCATTTCCCTGTCGTTTGGCGCTATCCATTTCTGGGCGTGGTCCTTCCATTTCCCGTCCACCATTGAGTTGTGGCTGTCGCGCTCCAGCACCGTGGCCATCATCATCATCCCGTTGTTTGCCCTCATTCTCTCTACGATCTCCGCGAATTTGAATCGCGGCAGACGCCGCGCGACCCTGGTCCTTGCCAACCATACTCTGATTGCGGTATACATCCTCGCACGGGTGATTTTACTGACGCTTCTGTTCACGACACTCAGAAAACTTCCATCTGGTGTTTATGTTGACTTCTCGTGGAGCTCTATTGTCCCCCATCTATAAACTGTCTCTGGAACCCTACGTTTTCACGGCTTTTGCACCAGTAGTACTACTTTCAAGTTGTGATTTGGGCAAAGTTGTTCACTCACGTATTAGTAAGTACTCCATGTATTTAGAATGCTTGGAACCAACCATTAAAAATTCACTGCACACTTTATCTACGTTGCAAGTCTTTGTGTTTGCCTTGGAGTCTTCAAGTCAACCTCTTCATTCAGATACTTAACCTAACCCGTGTGACCACGTGACCACGGGTGAACGGGATGACGGCGACCACCACGCCGAATCTCAAGCTTAGCTTGGAGGGAAGCGCTGGTTTACTGTACGACTCAGCCGCAGTATCACGAATTCTTCCTCGAGTCATTGCGGTCTTCCCACCGTGATGTCTGACTAGCTTCCGGACTCCGGAGCGCTCAAGTGACTAGTTCGTCATATATAACTCTCCACTCTACCTCGCTCAACAACTCATGTCTACTGTCACTATCAGGCGCGCCATTGGAGATATCGAAGACCGAATCCTCCTGCTGGAGTCTGAAATCAGCGCATTGCGAGCTCAGAAGGAAACATACCAGCAGGAGCTTTCATTCATTCCGTATTCTCAGCACCCACTCCCATCCAATCTGTTGTCCAGAATCTTCGTCTTCGGTATCAGTGCTCAGAAAGAGCCCAATCCAGCCGATATACGCCGCAATTTACGGCGAATGTTTGCGCTGGCTGCTGTTTGTCGACAATGGAAGGACGTTATCTTCCATACACCCGTGCTTTGGACTAGGATTGCTGCAACCTGTGGGCGTATTCAACGAGGGTTGCAGGCACTTGCAGCATGGCTGCCACGCTCAGAGAATCTTCCAATCGACATTCACGTCCGTTTTGTCGAGTCCACGGCGTTAACGGCGTGGAACCTCCTTGTACCCCATTCTGCTCGATGGCGGTTCCTCCAGCTGGACACTGTCGATTCAGTCGTCCTCCCAACAGACAAGGTTGCCTCCACACTCCCGTTTCTTCACACACTCGCGATTAGAGGCGATGTAACATTGGAGGAAGGGGACGGCAAACTTGTGGCGCCGCTTCTGCGCAGTCTGAAGATCACAACGCCGTTTGTCCTGTACCAGCTTCCTCTTCCCCTTGAACAGATTACAGCCCTGCACCTCTCAGGCGAATCTGGCGCGGGTATCCTGGACATGCTCGCTCTCACGCCTGAGCTTACTTCGTTGACCCTTTTCATTCGGGAGGACGAAGCAGACTCGACATCGCCTCCAACAACAACGACCTGTGTTCTCGCTCAGTTGGAATCGCTCAAGTACAATCCAGAGCTCCCGTCCTACATTCTAGCCGGACTATACACACCCCTTCTCACCAAACTCACGTTTGCTCAGCCCCCAGTAGTATTCGAGGACATACAGGCCCTTATTACCCGCTGTGGCTCCTCCGTCCGGTCTCTCGATGTCCAATACCACGCAAGTGAACCTGCCGCTCTATTCGACTGGCTCAAACAACTACACGACCTGAAAAGGCTGGATTTTGCGGTCACCCACTGGACCACAGACGATTTCGCCAAATTTCACAAACTGGTTATCAGCGGGCTTTCTGACCTCGAGTCGATCACGCTCAGAGGGTGCCCACGAGATTTGCGTTCCGCGCTGCTGGGAGAGCTCGTGTCGAAGAGATGGCACTGGGTGGAAGGGCTGACCCGGGTACAAACATTGCGGTTATCGTTCCAGCCGCTGCCTAGCGACGCATTCGTCGGTGTACGAGAACAATTGGCAGGCAAAGATTCGTCGAAGTATGCGGGACTGGAGCTGATGTTGTCGGAGCGAGAGGGAGAGCTGTTTTAACATGCTTCGCGGCCACAAATGCCTTATATGTGGTTTGTCAATGTGTGGGTCCAAGCCAGACGCGAATAAACACGGAACTTTGGACATTGAAAACGACGGAATTGGTGCATATCATATCTAACTTTGACTGTGTCCAGTGGACACCACCGCTGGTGGGACATGAGACAGCTGCGGAGCCTGTCTCAGTACGTCTCAAGTTCCGGCTTCGACCGAGTTAATGTCAATGTCCTATGTCTTTAGATCGAGATAGAAGAGTGGCGCGCGTTTCTGCAAGCCATCTCGACCTGAATGATCACGATTTCCAACACAATTAACGTCTATTCGCCTGACGATCTAGCAGAGGAAGAATCCGAGGGAGGTTTGAAAGATCAAAAGCGAAACTTGACTCTATGACCCATTCAACACCATCACCAAAAATGTATTGTTTTCGGATTAGCGCCAGCGCCAAGGCGTATCTGAGCAACATTACTGGACAGAGACGAAAACTAACGAGCGATTAGTATATTTGCTAGTGAGAGTTTTATAAGCGTACCCCAACACCGATGAACTCTTCCGATAACGCAGTTAATATGCCCATATCTACGGCATGGCTGACAGCGTACGCCTCAACTCCCAATTCAAGGTCGAGTGATGTTGCAACGTGCTCCCATCCATCGGCACGCAGTGCCTGTACCAACTCTGCGACCCATTCCTTGTTACCGTTGGTAGCAATGAACAACGTCTTCAGTCTCTTTGTCTCCGACTGCGCTCGGACTGTTGCAGCTTTGTGGACGATCCGCTTGACGTCAGGTAGACAGTGGTAGACGATAGCTTCCTTGCGTGTCATGCCTTCTGGAATATCCAAATGGTCGTTTAAACGTGGCCATACCGTCGTATCGTCAACATTGCCGCCGAAACCGAGCCAACGCTGGGCAGCAAGACTGGCATTGGCGATAAGGCCAGGCGTTCCCAGGTTATTCCAGGAATTGTATGGGCAGTCGATGGCGGCCAAGAAGCCGCAATGGCCTTCATAATCGCCACGTCTGACATGGATGCCTAATAGGCCGGGTATGGGTGTCTTCAGTGAAGAGGCAGGTAGCGGAGAGAAGTATTCGAAAGGGTTGACATCAGTGGCAGACGACAGCTCGCGGAGAGGAGCCAGATATATGGGAGGCGCTGATTGGTGGGGGGCGATTGCATGGAAGTTACGAAACAGTGTGGCTGTCACGAGTGGAGACCAAGCGAAATAGCGAAGAACCGGTGAAGCACCATATGATGGCCAGGCGCTGGTGACCCACTGACCGCCCATGAATCTGCATACAATTTGGTTAAGAGGCGAGTAAACCGGAAAAGAAACGCACACATAATGGAATATCGAGTACTCCTCTACGCTCACGCACATGTCGTCCATTTCGCTCAATTTCTTTGACCACCTGGTCAAAATCTCCGCGCCCTCGACCGCGATCGCATCGTATCCGAAACTACCGTGAACTTCAAACACGTTGAGGACTTTGACTCGCTCTCTAGGGCAGACGACATCCCACCATGCCTCCGAAATTGACCGCCTTGTCAATTTGTCGTCCACAGGGTTATCGGCAAATGGCCCCCCGCCAATGGGACCCGCCACAAAAGTATTCATTGGAATGTGAAGCATATGCCGCGTTCCATTGGGAAGGGTGTCAGGATATGGTGGGTGGTCGCGGGGGATATATTCAGGGAACACATAAGCTCTATCGCTCATATGTGCGAGGTGGGCATTGAAAAGTCTATAAATCATTAGCCCAAGACAATAAAACTTGAGGAGCTCGGACGAACTGTTCCTGGAAAACATTATTCCAGCTAGCCTATTGATAAGCATAACGGAGAAGTAGCAGACAAGAAAGCTTACCCCGTTCCCCAAGACGAGTGGGGTATTCGAAGATACCTGGCAAACGCGTCAACTATACGGAATCGACGGAAGAATGCGAGCGGCGTGCCTCGGTCCCTTTTCCTTCGTGCTCGCTACTATGCGGCTGGGCTTGACATGCTGTGGCAACGCTCGTTCGTAGTTCCAAACATCCCCGAAGGTCGGGTGGCCTAATATTCGAACGGCCTCGTCTGCGGTAAGCACTGACGCTGAAGGCAAAGGTTCTGGGGCGGGAAGTTCGGGAGAATATATGGAGCTTTCGGTGGGGTAGAGTGTCCACCCCAGTATGAGGGTTCCAGTGAAGAGAACGGCGATAATCCGGGTCGTCCTAGTCGGGTAGGAGCGATTCCACATCAGAGTTGAGAGGAAGACAGTTTTTTGTCGATCTATTCTTCCACCCCAGGCGGTGCTCAGGCTTATTACGTTGTTTTTTTTCAAGAACACCTTGCCCGAAAATGGCAATTGTTCCGCAAAGCAGGGCAAAGCCCTGATCGCCTCCCGCAATTGATATTGCATAGTTTCCAAGGTATTCGGCTCAGTTGACTGACAGTCGTAGAAATTGTTTCGCGCATTTGCTTCAGGCCCCAGGGTTCTTGCGTTTGTCTTGTGTTGAAACCATCGTTGAAGAAGCTTGAAGTAGAGAAAAGGCGTGCGTGACGTCACATTCTGGATTGGATGTCCTCAAGCTCCACCGACCTCGATTTATCGATAGCATCCAATGTCATCACATACCTCTCCGGGACCCCGTTTTCAAGCTACCAAGCCGACATTCTCCCTGGTGGAAATGCAAACTTCACCTTCCGACTTTTCCTCGACAATCCCAGTCCTATGATCAGTGGTGGCATGAAAACCGTTGTGCTCAAACACGCGAAAGGATGGTCTAAGAGTAGTCCCTCATTTACGTTGAAGATTGAGAGACAGGTCAGCTCGCAATTTGCTTAGATCTTACTAATCCCGTAATAAAATTCAAGGCCATCGAAGCTTTTGCTCTTCAACGGGTCCGTCAGATCTTAGATGACTCCGAAAATGCTGGAAGCTCACTGGTTACGGTCCCAAGAGTGCTACTACACGACCCTGTGGCACATGTTATTATCATGGAGGATGCTGGAGAAAATTCAGAGCCACTCAAAGCACTTCTGCGCAGAACCAGCCTTCCTTCAGGCAATCTAGCGCGCTTATGCCATGACCTGGGCCATTTTCTTGCCGACATCCACAATCGGGGTAGCAAAGACCCGGAGCTTATGGAGAAGGTTGGCTCGAATGAAGAAATGCGCAGTATCACGAGCTGGATAACATACGACCGCGTCGTCCCAATCTTGCGAGGCGAAAAGGAGTATAGTGGACTTCTCTCGCCGTCGCTCCTCGGCGCCGACGGGTTGTCAGAGCAGGACATGGCTCGAATAGGCCAACTATGCTCTCAACGAGCTGCCGAAATTCGGGCCGCTGTCGAAGTGTTTACGATGGGTGACTTTTGGACGGGCAACATCATCTGTCGGCGCGACGCTGCGTCCGGCGCAGTCGAAAAGGCCTTCGTGGTCGACTGGGAAGTCACCAAACCCGGCATCCCGTTTCTTGACTTCGGCCAGCTCGCCGCCGAGTTGTACACAATTGGGTGTTTCCACCCGGAAAGGGAGGAAGAACTGCGCGATGCGCTGAAAGCGTATGGGAAAGCTTATGCAAAGTCACGAGAAACATCCGTGGACGAGTTGTTTGTTCGGGGAGCTGGAAGCCATCTCGGCGCTCATTTAGCTGTGATTACGCCGACTGTGGAAGGTTGGGGCACGAGAGAGCAGGTGCGGGAAGTGGTGAAGCAAGGAACAGAATTCATATTGAAGGGGATCGAAGGTGATATGGTGTGGCTACAAGACTCCGTTGTTGGAGGATTAATGTGATACTATTTTTGGGCTAACTTATGCCCAGCGTCCAAGAAGCGCCATCAGTCCGCAACCAGTTAGCATTGACAGAATCGCATATGCCAGTTTCCCGTCAGTTGCGTGAATCATCTCCTTGTTGAATAGAAATTCGTGTGCGAGAAGCTAATGAAGGTTTCAGCACCAGGTTAACAGCGAGAAAAGAAGAACCAACCTCCACAAGACCCGTATACATCAAAACACCTGAGCTCAAGGCATCCAGAACCCCGCTGACGATAGAAGCAGTGGCACTTCCCGGATTGTACGTATGGCGGATGGCGAGACCAACGGCAATGCCGACTGGGGTTGAGAGGCCGTAAAGAATAGCAGCAATGATGGGCACCCAGGTTGCCGTCAGTTTCCGAGCGCCAGGAAGGTGGACAGTCGAAAGACGGGAGCCAAGTCCAAGGCCTTCAAACGTTTCTACAAAGAGTCATATAGAAGAAGGCCAAAAAGAGAAGGCAAGCACCCACGATGGAAAATGATGACAACAAAGAGTACCTTGAAATCTTCGTCGACCGCGAGTGCCAGGCCAATCAGAATGCTAGAATCCAGGTTTGAGTCGCCTGAAACGCCAATAAACGAGGTACCTGTGGAGGAGGACGCCGAATTCAAGAATGGCGATACCAATTATTTGACCGGCTGTATCGGCAGTTGTGCTCGTCGTTACCTCACCGATTTCTGCGTCGCTAATGTGGCCATCTTCCGACATATTCTTTGGCGGGGGCCCGCCAAAAGCCAACTTGGAGCTTTCAGGTCCATGAGCCGCGTGGGAGCCGACACTATGGCCATGAGCATCTGTGTTTGTGGGAATCAGAGAGCGGGATGATGGATAAGTAAGTAGCGCACCATGTTGAACCCCAATTCTCGTTAGTTTTGCTGTTCCCCAGCGGAAGGCGATGAGTTCGACAATGAAGATGGTCATGATGCTGAGGAGACACAGGGCAAGGGCATATGGCTAGTGAATCGATAAACACCGCGAGAACAATAAGTGATTGGACGAACATAGTCCTGCCATTCGGGGGCGAGACATTCTGAGCTGAGTGCCTCCAAAGCTGGAGCCAATAGGTGAATGAACGCAGTCGCAATCTAATCAATTTGAATGTCATGTTTTCTGTGTGATGCACTACTCACGATGACGCCAGAGCCGAAGTACTTCGCAAAGCTTTGAGGCGTTAAAGTCAGATTTATGCGACAAGAAAAGGCTGGTCGACGGACTCGAATAAAGCCTTTGGAACGTGCAGCCACTTCGATCTGACCGCGAGAACAGGGAAGAGCGCTCCAGAGGTGGAGCACAAGAGGATGATGAAGACAGAGGCGACTCTGAGGCCAAGAAAAGTGTCGCCGTTGTCGATGCTCTCGCATTCTGAGACGGACTCGGAGGACATGGGTTAAGGCAGAGGAGCTGCAGCCAACAATAAGTAAAAGCCTTTTAAGAGAAGTGCAAGCCAACCGAGGAGGTCCCCGTACCAAGCTGTTGTCCTATCATCTCAACAAAGTCTCCGAGTTGTTGTGGATGAGCACCACCACAGTCGAGCAGTCCAAAAAGGGAGATCGTTGAACGCAACTGCGCAGGCCCACATTGGGGAGCCAATAGGAAGCGGGCTATTGCAAGAGTGTTGGTGCACGTGGTCTATGATTGCCTTCAGGGACCTCAGTTATCCAAACCCAAGGTTTTGGTGGTATTCTGGCGCAAGCTCAAGTGAAAGTTGTAGTGTAGTCAACAACAACAAACACAGCAACGTAAGTAATTGGAGTGCCGAGATCCGTCGTTCACGTGATGATATATTTTTCAGTTTCTGCACAGCAACTGCACAGAGTGCTTGTAAAACGAAACTCATAAGTATGAAGATGCAAGAGAGTGTGATGCTAAGTGTCTACATCTAACCCAATACAAGTAGTTGCGAATCAGTGGACGCCGCCGAGCAACGGGAAGGCATCTATGATCTAACTGAATTTCGACAATCCATGGGCGGTACCTACTGATGAAGTTCCATGGTATGTTTTTTGAGAGTAGAGCAATAGAAGACATGGAAGTTGCGAGGAAGTATCTGAAACGCCGATAAGATGATCCTCGGTCCCTGGATGAGCGTCACAGCGTGACGCTCCATCAGACTTGGTCGACCCTCGTTCCGCTGTTGACTTCGGCGGCGACACGGTCTCCAAGTCAAGCCTCGGCCATGTTTCGAACGTTGCTGACGCCCTTGCGACTTCGTTTTGACTCGTCGCCGCGGTCGGCTGTCACCAATAATGTCACTTCACCCAGCATCGACGAGGAGGAGCTCGAAAACCCAGAGGACTTTGCCAGGGATGTGCTCATAGAGCTCATGCGACTGGCTGTGGACAAGCTCAAGACGGTAGACACCGCTCAGGAAAGAATAGAGGTAAGTTTTTTGCCATTCTCGTGTAAAGCTTACTAAACGGGAATAGGTGCTTGTCGAAATCCAGCGCATAATGCTACAGGACACCGTTGGGGCGACCAAAGACGTCTTTCGGGAGATGGATGGGTTCATGGGGCTTGTGGCAGCGCTCTCTACTGCTGACCACAACGCCAAGGACGAGGGAGAGACGATCGAATGCAGCCGGCTTGCATTCATGATCACTTCCGAAGCCATTACCGACCACAAGCAAAATGCCGAGTACTTTAAGGTGCGTACCATATGTCCTCTTATAGTTTCTTCGTTTAACGCCTGTCCAGAATCGGGTTGGCTATGAGGCATTGGCTTCTGCGGTTGCTCGTCTCATTGCGGATCGTTCAACCGTTGACTATACGATGGGTCTCCTCCTCTCCTTCGCTTTCCGAAACTTCTCCCTTGCCGGCACATTCAAGTCCATACGTGGAGTCGCTGCCACCAACGTCGAGCCAACTCTGCGAGAAGTAGTGTCACGCCTTGGGGGAATCAAACGACCCGGCGCCATGGCTCTCCTCGTTCGGTTCGCTCCTCAACTTATCAACGACGACGCGGCCATGAGATTTGGTGTATACAAACTCTACGAACTCCTAGCCAACACCACCCACCGAAATCATGTCGTTTTCAGCAGTTTTGACCTGGAAAGGGGCTTGCTGGAGCGATTTTGCGAACCGGGAACACCTGAACTCGAGCGGAACGTTTTGCAGAAACTCACCCGACGACTACTTGACATGGGCGCAACACCCGCTGTCGCGCGCTTTCTGTTTCAGCGGGTTGTCAGGGAAGACGATACCCTGGACGCCGAACTTTTGGAGGTCATCCGTTATGGAATGAAGTCGCGTTGGCTGGAGCACATCTCTATGGAGTCGCCGGCTTCGCTAGCAACAACAGAGGAGAATGTGAAGGGCTTGGTGCGTGTTATTCCATTCTGCTCTCTGATCGCTGATCCCATTTGCAGCCGGTTGGTGGATTTACGTTCATGATTTGGCTCTGGATAAAGGAGCTTCCGACAACCACACACCCAATCTTTACCGCCCGAATAGGCACTGGGAATCGTCCTATCCTTACACTTTCCTTGCGCGGAGATGGCAAGCTTGAGCTCACTTCAACATCCAGTCGCGAAGTCGGCGTCTTCCGCAAAAGCTCTGTGAACAAAATGCGCTGGACCCATGTTGCCCTTACCCATTACCCCCAACGAAACGCAAACCCAACTATCCGACTTTACATTGACGGGGTGCTTAACGATGGCTTAAACTGGAGCTATCCCAAGCTCGAATCCCAGGCACAAGCTCTTCGTTATGTCATTGGGGAGGATATAGCCAAGACAAGAATGAGCTGGTGTATTGCCTCAGCACACTTAATGTCTTTCCCTCTCGGAGACGACGTTCCACGGTTCATTCACCATCTTGGTCCTCGTTACTCTGGCACTTTCCAGGACCCCGTACTAGTCAAGTTTCTGACTTACGAAGCCAGTACATCCCTCAACATGTATCTCTCCACCATCCTCGCCAAAGCGTCTACCAATCCCACGAGCCCGACTTCTCAGAGTATTCCTTTGATGAAGGTTGTGAAGGACGGTCTGGGCATACCTGAAACCGGAATCGTTTTTTCGATGAGCCCACTCAATTGTCCCGCAAACGACCCCGAGCGAAGTGTTGTTCCAGCCAACGGCAGTAAACGAGAGTTCCAAGTTCAAGGCGATGTCTTCATTGTCAAGGCGGCCTGTCTCGATCAGAGTTTATGGAAGATCGGGGGAGCAGCGGTTCCATTACGACTGCTGCAAGTTGCAAATGTGAGTCTTCATGCCAGATGATGACTCCACTCTTACAGATAGTTATTCCCAGACGCCCCATGAAGTATCTCGGGCACTGGGTGTCCTCATGGACGGTTTGCGAAACAGCTGGGTCAATTCGGAAGACATGGAGCGGCTACGTGGCTATGAGATCCTGACCAGCGTCTTGCGACCCAAAGCGCAACTGGTCAATATGACGGGATTCGAGACTATTTTCGAATTCTTGGGTTTCAATTTCCGGTCTCCAGAGTGCGTTATTAGCCAATTATGACTCTTCCGTCGACTTATGCCGTTTAGACACTCAACCGTAGTTAATGCCGTTGCATACCGCGCCATTGCCTTGGATTTTGAGTTATGGTCTAAAACTCGGGCAGAGGTTCAAAGAGTCCATCTCGAACATTTCACGACCCTCCTCATTACCTCCCGATACAAGCGTTTCAACATCAAGCAGCGTTTCGCCAAGATCGGCTTGGTTCGGAGGTTACTGTTCGCCCTTCAAACCAGCTGGTACTCTCCGGAGGTTGTCGTTCACGTCGTCCAGGCATTGAAAAGTGCTGCCCAGTCGAGCTTTTCGAAGGAAGAAGCCATCAAACCCATCGTATCGTACCTGGCTGCCAATCTGCATGCTTCACCACCTGCTGCCCAAAACGGAGATGACGGAGAACCGGAGGCAAGCTCGCCTCAAAGTGTCATGTCGCGTATTGACTATCGTGATCCTCGAGACAAAGCAGAGCAAGTTTTGGAGATTCTGATCCAACTCCTCGCGAACCCAACACTCTACAACAAATTCAGCGCCGTTCTCCCGTTAACACGGATATGTCTTCTTCTCCTTGGCGATCGACCTACGCCATTCATTGCCAGCCAGATTCTCATGCTCATTGCTATTAGCAACGCCATGAGCCCCGCCTTTGCGCGCAAATTCGAGCTCATCAGCGGTTGGAGTGTTCTCAAAACAGTCCTGCCGAGCTGTTGGGACCCTAGTGTCCATGAGGCCGTGCTGGATGTGCTCCTGGGAAGGTTGGGTGATCCGATGGAGAATGGTGGAGGTGGAGGCATGAATGGATATGCTGGAGCCAATGGCAAGTCCAACGGGAACGGACACACGAACGGCCAACCAAACGGTGGAATCAATATCGCCTGTCCACAAATTGTACCAACAATCTTCTGCGCATTGCAGGCCGGTCTAGTCATCATTGCTCGGAACTGCGAAGTTATGGATGGTGTGTGTTATCTGTTGGTTGTTTCCAATTGCTCATATCTGCTTTAGAAGGAAATGGTTCATGGGCTGTCGAGTCCACGATGGAAGTCCTAGTCGAAGAGCTCATGGATTTGCATGCATCGAGCAACAGTTTCCGCGAGGTTTTCAAGTCACAACAGACCACACAACTTTTTGTGAACAGCTACAAGACCTTCGTTCTCCGAGTCACAAACGCTTCTCAGATAAACCCGCGCACCATCCGGATCCTTGAGAAAATGACTCACTTTGGGCTCGGACTTGCCTTGGATAATAACGTGGCCGGTTCTCAAAAACGCGAGGTAGCTGTCCAGATGCAATTCATGCCCAACATTCACCCGTTTCATAGATCCTTGACATTCTTCAAGAGGCTGAAGCCATCCTGGCCCCATCTGCGCAGAAGACACAAATCGACCCTTCACTCGTAAATGATACCCGAACCGTCCGTCAGAGAATCCAGTCTGCTCGATTCAGCATCCAGATTGGTGACCGTACCGTCGTCAAAATCATGACCCGAATGAACGAGTGGAGGCTAACAATCCAATCGTCTGAGCACAAGAGATTGAGGAAGAACATCTTGGATCTGTTAGCAATCTCGTCATGCCCTATTCATGTGCTGACAATTTGTGTAGCCGCGAAAATCGACGACAAGTCTCGCGTTTGACGGAATGGTCGAACTTGTTGACCTCTGAACGGGGTTTGTGGCCGAATCCTGAAGAGCGTATGTGGCGATTAGACGAGACGGAAGGACCGCATCGGGTCCGGAAACGTTTGGAACCCATGAACGACAAGTCGCTGGCCATTCGCGTGGATACTAGCGACCAGAACATCCGAAACGTTGAGGCGCCTGAAGCAGATTCACAGTCAATCAATCAGGTCGAGGTAGGCACATTGATTACCTATCTCAAGTTACCGCTGACTGCGAAAGGTTCCTCCATGGGCGGAGTCGTATGAGATCTCAGCGACCGACATGGATGGCGAGTTTTTGTATCCAATCAAAGGAGTCTCCTTACTCACTACTCCTTAGACCGACAACTGGCGGAGGAGATTACAGACGATAAACTACGGCGTGTCAGGCACGAGTTGGAACCCGGCGATGTCATCGAAGCTGTAACAACTGTTGCACGAATTGCTGGTGTCGACTCTTCCCGTACTAGTCTCTTCCTGACAAGGCCAACCACTGACCATTTCCAGCTGGCCTAATGATCATCGGACGAACACACATTTACATGCTTGACGGTCTTGTCGAAAGCGACGACGGGGAGATCATCGACGCGCATGAGGCTCCGAAGAGGTTGTTCTTTGTACCTGGCAGTATTGTGGAGCTAGATGGTCCTCAGAAAGCCCAACGATGGTGGGTCTCAGCTGTGTATTCACTTTCGAGCCCTCTAATTTGGTTTATAGGTCACATGACCAAGTAGCTGCCTTCAGTGACAAGACCTTCCTTTTCCGTGATGTCGCGTAAGTTTTTGCTTAGAGATTCTTCTAGTTCTTATATCTCTTCAGGCTCGAGATCTATTTCAAGGATAGTCGGTCGTTATTGATCGTCTTCCTCGACAAGCAACGACGAAAAGACATAGACCAGCGTCTCAACAACATTATTGTCCGTTATAATCCTCCAGAGACCGCCATCGCCGCGACGCCAGGTCGCATGCGCACACCCAGGTTTGGGAAAGCGTTTCAACGAAACGACGAACTTTCAACTGCGCAACGGAGATGGCAAGCTCGCGAGATTAGCAATGTATGGCTAATCTGCCGATATGCCCAAATCTTCATTGACTTCGTTCGCAGTTCACATATCTTAGTATTCTTAACCAAATATCTGGCCGAACGCCTAGCGACGCCACTCAATACCCCATCTTCCGTATGCCTGTCTTTTTCCCGGTGGTCTCGTGACTGATTGTGTCGATAGCTTGGGTTCTCAAGGATTATACCTCTGCTACGCTAGACCTAACGAATCCCGACTCATATCGCGAGTGAGTGGGCGGAACATTTCGCACTATAAAGAACTCAGTATTCTTTAGCCTAACGAAACCCATGGGCGCCCTCACTGACGCACGAAGAGAAGCTGCTGAAATGCGATACACAAACTTGGAGAGCGTGGGTGAAAACCCGTTCCATTATGGAACACACTTCAGCTCGTCCATGATCGTCTGCCACTTCCTCATCCGGACCGCACCTTTCACGAATATGTTCAAGACCCTGCAAGGAGGAGACTGGGACTTGCCTGACAGGCTTTTCGTGTATGCTCTCTTTTGCTTGTTACTGAGGCTAAGCTAACGAATTGCAAGTGACATTCCTCGAGCCTATGAGTCCGCTGCATCGGATATTCGTGGAGATGTGCGAGAACTCATTCCAGAGTTCTTCACCTGTCCAGAGTAGGTTTATGGCTATTGCAGATGAATTTGGTGCTGATGACGGCGTAGGTTCCTCGAGAATTCATCCAACTTGGACTTCGGTGTCCAACAGAACACGGGCGAGAAGATTCACGATGTGAAGCTCCCACCTTGGGCAAAGCATGACCCGTTATTGTTCATCGTGCTCAATCGGAGGGTAAGACGTTACTGCTCTAGTTACACAACCCGTTGACGAGCTGGTTAGGCACTGGAAAGTGCTCATGTCACCGAAAAGCTCCCGGCATGGATTGATCTTATCTGGGGTTGCAAGCAACGAGACACAGCGTCACTCAACTGTTTCCACCCCTTGTCCTACGAGGGCTCTATTAATCTCGACGCCATCACCGACGAGCTTGAGCGGGAAGCAACTGTGGGGATCATTCACAACTGTAAGTCAATCTTTTTTAACTTGTGCTTGACTAATGTCCATCGATAGTTGGCCAAACACCTCGCAAACTGTTTACGACTGAACATCCAGCGCAATATGATGTTGGCCCTCGCACATTACCGCTTGGTCAAGCAAACGGTATTGAGGAAGACCCACACCTCCTCGTTCAAGCAGCACGACATTTCCAGGATCTCGGGCCCACTGTGCCCGTTCGCGAGCTCGTGATGGACATGATCAGTGAACGAATTATTCCTTGTCCGGAAGGAGTTCTTTGTAATCCTTGGCGACCCCATGAGCGAATCGAATGGGGTACAACACGGGCAGCTGCTGGCCAACTCCGTTACGCTGCAGACCAGCGGGTTATTCAAGTCATCGAAGAAGCCAACTGCGTTTGCGCCGCCTTTGCGGACTGGGCTAACATTGTCACTGGTTGCAGCGACTTTACCGTGCGGTTGTGGAAGATCAACCGTGGCTCATCAAGCTCGAGTCCGGGGAGGCTGGGTCTTTCGCACATCATGCGAATCCATACTCATGATGTCGTTGCTGTTACTGCTTCAAGACCATGGGCCATTGCGCTGAGTGGCTCGCGGGACGGAAGCGCCGCCATTTGGGATCTGAATCGCGGCATTTATATCCGGTCAATTTGGCATGGGGAAGCGAGCGAAATGACTGCTGTCAACCTCGTCGCGATTAACGAAAGCACGGGCTACATCGCGACCTGCTCGCGGGAAAAACTGTGCCTACACACCATCAACGGACGGCCAATGGCCACGCTTAACTTGACAGTACCCTCCATTTCGGATGGGATTCCGCCGCTGGTGACTGCGCTGGCCTTCCACGAGCGTGAATACTCGCATATGGGTGTTATCGCGACGGGTGGATCGGATGGGTCGATAACCTTCCGTACATGGACAACAGACGGAACGCCTGAAGGGGAGAAGGCTGTCTGGGAGTTCCTGACGATGCGAACGATGAAAATAAGGGGTCCCCCCAGCCAAAACGGGACCCCAGAGCGACCGCCAGCCGTCAGGGCGCTAAAATTCTATGGTGAAGACTTGTACCATGGTGAGGAAACTGGGAAGACGTTTGCGTGGACGCTTCCTGAGTGATCTCCTTTCTCTCTTCTTTTGTTTCCTGGTTCTGTTATGCTGTTGTAAAGTTTAACTTTATTGTTATTCATTCTGGATCTCTCAATTCACTACATTCATGTCAATGCTCATACTAATTGGCTGTTCTATAAGTGCTTTCTGAAGAAAACCTAGTTCTTTGAACGTGTGATCATTTTTTGAATCGCATTTACATACCGGATTCTTGTCAGCTCGGGATTTGAGTGAGCCTGGCTGCTCTCGAGTCTCTGGGCAGCCTGGGCTTGACCTTGTCGATTTTGGTGTCGATAGTTGGGGGTATCAGCCATGTATGCTTCCTCTCCAGTGTCTCTCCACTAGATATTTTCCTGCAGTACGGTCTTCAATTAAATGCTGTCAACTAAGCCCTTAACGTGGCGGCATACAGATTGTGGTCTGTGGGCCGCTAGATCAGGTAGCAGGCTATTGTGGTCTTGTTTGAGTGGAGATGCTCGGTTCAGCTGCGCTGATGCAGTCAGGCTTGGTTCAAGTCTAGTTAGTTGGGAGGTCGAGGAACTTCCATTTTGGTTTTCAGAGAATCAGAGTTGAGTCGACCCTTTTTGAAGACTCAGGCGGCGGTAGGGACTTTGTTATCCGCTTGTGGATGGCGATGTCCAACCGGTGTGCGCCTTGTCGTGAGCTGTGACAAAAGTGACATGCACGGAATGACGTAAGTATTTGTCTTCTTCCAGCCACGACGATGCCGCCGAAACGTCGGTCAAGATACAACAGTAGACGCGTCCGCGTCTTGCCCTTTGACGGAGCAACCACGGAAACAGAAATGGAGAAAGCATCAACTGCTCGCTTGCGTCTCGGTCAAATAGTCATTGATATTCGGGAAGCTGGAAGTCGCGAGCAAGTGGCGTTGTTGGAGCACGAAAAGGAACAACTAGAAAAATACATTGCTGGCTACAAATATCCCGTTGCTCTACTACCTGCCGAAATTGTGCGCGAAATTTTTCTCCATTTCCTCCCGCCGTACCCCCAACGGTCGCCTCTTGTCGGAATGCATTCTGCTCATGTCCTGGGCGAAGTCTGTGGTCGCTGGAGGGAAATATCATTGGGAACTCCAGTGCTATGGGCGACGATAACCGTTGCCCTCCACAAAAACCGGATACTCCCCCACAAACTAGACCTGTTGAAGCTGTTTTTGGCACGGTCAAAATCGCATCCGCTCTCAATCATGTTTAAAGTTGACGATGATGTCGACCCGATGCCATTCGCGCGGCTTTTATTTGACCACAGCGATCGCTGGGAGCATGTTGCTATCAGAATCCCTGCCCGCGCCACCTTGCCAGCCTCTCTCGACAAGGGGCTGCCGCGTCTTCGCAGTATCGATATTCAGCCCGATTTTGATCCGCTGCACGATGGCAGCCACTTTTCGAGCGTCCACGAAGTCCTTCTCAAGGCAGTAGAGACGGCGCATGCTCTCGAAAGGCTCCATTCGCGATTCTCTTTACTGTGCGACCCACTTCGGTTTTCGCTCAGTCATTTGACGGTACTCAACGTGGAATACGTATACCTAGACCAAATGCCTATCATTCTTCGACGCACGCCAAACCTTGTACACTGTTCTATTAGAGCACTGATGAACTCGACGACTGTGAATATAAATGAAGCGTAAGTCGTCATCTGAGAAACCTGAATCGTTCTAACACGACATTTAGAATACAGCTTGCTGAACTACAATCGCTGGTCCTGAACTATTGCCCGCCGCTGCCAGAACCGATCGACATATCGCAATTTCTCAGCCTCCTCATTATTCCCTCCCTTCGTACTTTGAAACTGACTCTCCCAAACGAAACGGCCACCGCAATCAATATTGTGGAGAACATAGTTGAGAAAAGTGAATGTCGATTGCAAACACTGGTTATCGCGGCTCTTAGTCCTGATGGTCCTCCCGAGGACGAACTCCAGCGCCGATTCAGAGCGGCTTTCCCCGCAGTAGACCATGTGGCAGTGGGCAACAACGGGAAGGGCATGTATGGTGGTGGTGAGGGGCTGTTCTATGGTTTTGCTATGGACTCGTATGACCCGGTTGAGCACGACGTAGGGTTTTTAAATATCTCTGCATTCAATGAGGTCGATGTCCTGTAATTTATTCCAGCCATCAAGATTTGTAAGTGATTTGTAACCAAAGAGAATTCTTGCCTCTTCCTATTTTCGTGAATTCGTTGCTCCAGGGCCAACGCATTTGGATACTTAGCAGCGACCGTGACGGTGGTCTTGTCAAGCAATGGGGCGGCAAACGACCACACCACTTCAGAACACAAACAAATCGCGATACCAGCCAGCGATGCCTCCATATGACTGAGGTGAGTGGGCACTCTGCTCTAGCCGCCTTGCCTCCATTTCTTTGCCACAGAGACCAAATTGACCCTCTCCACCCATCCTGACACCGACACTCTGCTGCACACGAACTTCTCCTGCTTGGGATCCGCCCATTGGCAAGCAGGAAGTTAGGTCCCCACGCCAGCCTTGCGGGCTGCGTTACATATATCGTCCAACGCTTGAAGCTATTCACCGTCTGACTGCGGGAGCCAAGCTTGAAGCGAAGACGCGACAATTTGTCTTCTCCGTCCATAGCGGCGGCCGCCAGAGGGTTATGAGGCTGCCGTCAAACAGTGACAGAACACCTGCAATGGATTTTTCAAGAGCGCAATCTCTACGGTATCAGGCCAAAGGCAACCGACTAGGGGCAGTGTCGTCCAAAAGTGGCTCGATAGATGGCCCAACTCGAAATAACCCATTCGCCCACGACGACTTGTTGATGATATTCACATACAAAAGCGGGTCATTTGTGCAAATGCCACATCCCCCCTCGTCGCTTTCGATGCCTGTGGAGCCGACGCCTCTGGAAGCTCTCGATGACGACCCACAGCCTGAACCTCCCGACGATAGCAAGTCGGGCGTAGGAAATACGCAAGATTCATCGCCTCGTGGTGATCCGGTTCGTCGCCTTCATTCTAGGAGCCATCTGTTCATTTGAGTTACTACAGGCTCCAGACCAGAACCGCGCAAGTTCACGTCTCTCGCCGTCGCAATCTGACCAAATAGCTGCCGATTGTCACGAGTCGCGAGTCGCAGCACATTAACACACCAGAAATAACGCAACCAGTGGATGCTGAGGTAGGAATGGCTCGGTGGCTCTACTTGAGAAACTGATTGAGATAACCCGATTGTCAGATGAATAATAGCGAGTCGAAGCCAAATAACCCAGTTGCACTTGCAGGCCAAGAACGCCCCCAAGCAAACCAGGTGGGTAGTATCATACTAGTATGCTATCCTCAAGTTGACGTCTCAATGATAGCTTGAACAGCCGCCACAGTTTGGCGGTCTCACAGCACAAGGCGCAGCTTCCTCCGGGTCCCCAGCGACTCGGACCAACACTTGTTGGGTGCGAAATCTGGCAAGGATGTGGACCGGTTTAAAAAAAAAAGTTAACATAATGGATTGTTTGACGAGCCACAACTTTTAAAGAATAGACTGCTATAGACAGAGACTAGAAACAGACACAGTAGGGTCCGAGGCGTCAGCCGGAGTTGCTGTTGTTCTTTTTTGATCATGAGCCTATCTTTATGCTAGCTCAGCAGTTTGAATGAATGATTGCATGCCAGCCGAACTTCGTAACATCGGCCAGCCGGCGAGCGCTCTTGAAATAGAGTTATGGTGCACATGCCACACAAGCATGGTTTACTCGAGGCAGCACCAGTATAAAGTTGCTGGTATACCATCATGGCATGCCTTCGACGTTGCAACTACGCCTGCCAATATGCCCCACTTTCCTGGTCTCGTCGAAAGCTATTCACGCACTGTGGCAGAAATTGTTATCAGCAACATCTTCACTACTGCCCCTCTTATCTACATTTCAATTAAGCCGAATATTGTGGATTATCCAAAGAGATATACAAGCTGGGGGTGGGAGGCAAAATTGATGCAGATATGTGGCAGATTTAATACAGAGAAAACCAAGCTTTTCCTCCTTTCACTTGTTGCCCCTGAAGTCCTTCTGGGACTTGCTGTCCGCCAACACAGCAAGATGTCTTCCTTGTCAAAGAGTAAGTATACTTATATCCTACTAGTATCTTTATAAAATATATTAAATCTATTGTTTTCTAGAATATGATCTGCAACAATCTGTGGCATGGTATATTGTCATGGGTGGTTTTGTTGCTCCAAATGGACATCCAATTGTCATGAATAAAGACATCCATCTCTATGCAGCAGCCATCAAGAATATCAATCCTGATGATATCATTATAAAGGATAAATCAAGTGGCCTGGCAACCCTAGGAGTCTTTCTCCAGGTCATTTGGTTTTCAGTATCATGCATTTCCCGTGCATCAATGAAAATGCAATTTTGTGAATTGGAGATTGTGACTCTGGCCTTTATCTGTGTCCAAAGTCTGACAATTATCTTTTGGTGGAGCAAGCCAAAGGATATTAAGGAGGTCATTACCCTACAGGTAGTCTCAGTTGCTAATCTTATCTTTCAAACAGACTAAAGAATATATAGCTAGAAGAACTCTTACCTATCCAATCAGAATTAACCTCAGTGATCAAGGTCAATAACCCTTATTCAATGCTGATCACCCAAGAGAATCTGATAATTTGATAGTTTAATAATGATACTTTGAAATCAGAATCCAACTCAGTTCAAGACTATATAGGATATTTTCTTACAGCAGCTATTTTCGGAGTCTATCCTGGGTTTGACTCCCACCTGGTGAATAGGGTTCCCACATTCTGGTCCCAGGAGGCAAAGGACATTACTGGAAAAACATTTGCTATTCTATTGCAGGTTATTGCAGTATTATCTTTTGGTGCTATCCATGCAATTGCCTGGAATTTTATGTTTCCAACTCAGGTTGAAATGTGGCTATGGCATATAAGTGTTGCATTGATAATTGGGGTGCCTATTCTGGGATTCATTTTAGCCATGATATATTCTCCTATGAAAAATGGCATTCTCAGAAAAGTGCTTGTATATTTCACCCATTTTTTGGCAGGCATTTATGCTCTTGCTAGACTGTCACTTCTTATCCTGCCTTTCACAACACTTTATCATGTTCCAATGGGTGTACTTTCACAGCAAGGATTGAACTATCTGCAATTCCTGCCACACTTCTAAGGTAGAAGCATTGGGTAGAGTATAGGTCAGGATGAATTTGCAGGGTTTTAGAGCAGAGTCTGTCAGGATGATCAGGGTTTCACCAATTTTCAAACCTAGCTAAACCTGGATTCGAGTGCTTTCAGGGTCAATCTGCAGGACTCAATAGGAAGTTATGATTCATGAGTTTCTTATGCAAATACTATGTTTTGTTTTGTTTTGGAGATACTTGTAGAGTTTTCAGTGCATAGAGACTGTAGCCCTGCAGGGCTGCTCTGAACTGTGAGGAGACTGGTCGAGCTAATTTGTTGTTCATGTTGGCACCCTGTGACTGACAAAATTTTTTTGTCAGATTAGCATAGGAGTGATGCATAACTGATAAAATAGTACAGCATAGAATAGTATAAGGGCAACCCCAGAGCTAAAATTAAGGTTCTGGCAGGGGAGGATCCCAAGAGTAAATATTGGTAAGCAAATACAAATGAAGCTGACCAAGCAGGTAAGATCCAAAGAGAAAAAACTATAAGAGTGTCATAGATCTTGGATCTCAGAACATACAATATGTGATGACATAGAACCTGCACCCCAGTAGCAATGGAACAAACATATGATAAGTATATGACCCAGCACACTGTGTGACATGTCAGTCACAATGCTGAGCCTAACTCATACTGGGGGCATGACTAATAGTGCTTGGGAATATATGGGTTAACCTTGTGGCACCTTTTAATCCCACATATCCCTTGTAGTTAGAATATATGCTACAGGGCAGTGTTGACATAGATAAGACCTGGCCCATCTGTTCCGGTGCTGGTGTCAGGCCACCGAGGGCCTGCAACACACAGCATGTGATGATGGGGAACAGGTGCCACAGTAGGGAGGAACGCACATGTGGGAAGCACATGACCAAGAACAATGTGTTGGGCTGTCGCTGAGCCTAACTCGCAACACAAGGGGACTAGTATCAGACTGCGGGTCGGGCCATGCAAGGTCTTCTCCTAAGAATGCGTGCCCGGAGCAGAACAGATGGATTGTCAGGCCAAGCAGGGTAGATCGAAACTGAAAGGGCCTGTTAACTCAGTCCCTTGTCGCTATTGGTCGTCGAAGGTTCGAATTGGGTTGTGTCGGGCCCGATGAGTCGGTGATTCCTCCTTAGATGGAGAGAAGTAGTTCGTCAATACGAGGCCCTGGTCCGGGCCAAGCTGATCAAGTCAGCCGCCCCCACGATGCCTAGCGGTTTGATTCGGACTCCATTTGCAGTCAACCGCATCTCAGCTCCGGCCCCTTTCCGCCCGGTGGCTCCGGTCGTGCCACCTGCGGCCCGCGCTCCCCGCTCCGGCGCCTCCAGCTCCTGTCCCTATGGAGTTGGATCGCACCAGGGCTCGGGGTGCCCTCGTCACGCCTGCTTCAGGTGCGGCGACCTAAACCATCTCGCCCAGGATTGCCCCCTCCCCGCCGATGTCCGCTTGATGGACATCCTCGACGAGGTGATCCAGCAACTTGGTGACGAGATGTTAGCGGAGTTGATCGCCCGCTACACGGATACAGCTGCCCTGCCAGAGACGGCAGCGGAGTCGATGGCCGGAGAGGATTTTGTCCCCTGCCACGAGTGACTGGTGTGCCCTCGTTTGCATCTGTAAATCGTTTTGCCTCTTTGTATGATGAATGCAGTTCCTTGCCCTACAATGAGCCCGAAACGACAGACACACCCTCTCCTGCCCCGCCTCAACTCTGTCTCTGACTCCGCCTGCGACTCCGGTCATCGTCCTTCACCGCCTCACTGCCTGGGAAAGGAAACTACCCAAGCAGTATACCGTTGCTGCCTCCCCTGGGGTGAACTCCCTCCACCTCCCGTTGGAGCTAGAGTCCACCACCCAGCGCGCTGAAAGCTCTCCCTCTCTGGGCTTGTCGACTGTGGTGCCACCTCCGACTTCATCAACACAAACTATGTCACTCGGAATGGCATTCCGGTCCGCACCCTCGATCAGCCGATTCCGGTTTTCAATGTCGATGGCACCCCCAATGATGCTGGCTCCATCAAACAGATCGCGGACTTGGTCCTGCGGTACAAGGGCTATGCCGAACGAGTTCAACTGGCCGTCTGTAAGGGCAACCCTGGAGACTCCGACAAAAGCCTAGCAGGGGAGGATCCAAAGCGTGAATAAAAGCTATGGAAATACACGGAGGGACCGACCTAGCAGGGGAGGATCCAAAGAGAAGAAACTCTAAGGGTCCGTCTGCTAGGGCGCCAACTATATACTGGTCGTCCGTAACTGCCGGCGTAGAGCGCAGAAGGCCTGAGCGGCGTCGCAGGCTCTGTCCCAAGGTGATCGTTGGGAGTGTCTTGACGGATCCGGTGATTGTGCGGGGCGAAGGAGGCCGTGGACGATGGTCGGGGTGGGTCGGAGCGTCCGAGGGGGCGCCGGTCGGATGCGCCTCGGATGCGCTTGGAGGGTCCGAAGGAGGCCGAAGCGGGGGTTCCCCTGACACCGTCACTCATCTTGGCAAGCAAGACCTTATCCTGGGGTACTCCTGGTTGTGGAAACACAACCCAGAGATCAATTGGGAAACCAAGGAGGTAAAGATGACACGGTGCCCCTCGCAATTGCTCGACCTGCCGCGAGGAAGAGCACGTTGAACGGACCGAGTTGCGGCAACTCCAGTCGCTCCAGAAACGTCTCCGCTCCGGCCCGTTCCCCTCGGTTTGCACTATGGACCTCTCTGGCCCTGAAGACGGAGACGATTCCGATTCCGGTCTCGATTCCGACCTGCCTGATCTGACACCGGACTCGGACTCGGACGACAAAGATGACCAGCTCGAAGATGGTGACCGCATCTTCTACACCTCGTTCCGTCCCTCGGAGGAGATACGCGCAGGTAGCACCGTCTCACAGCGCCTGGCCAAAGCCTTTGCCAGGAACTCCGCCCCTCCGTCCTCCGAGATCCCGGACTGGGCTAAGGAGTTCCAGGACGTCTTCAACAAGG